TCTGCAAGAGAAGCACTCCTTTCAAAATGACTATTGTGAACACAGCAAATGGAAACCTTTCTAGAAACACACACAAGCCAATTTGGGAGAGTTGCTGTAGCAGCATTGAGGAGGAATGGGGGAAGAGCAATTTAGCGAGGTTTTGAGCTGAAGCCGGCATTCTCGCAGGTGCCAAGAAATGGAAATGTTCAGCAAAGCCAAAATATCTGTCAGGGGTATTAAGCCTTGAGCATTAAAATGTCATTCATGTTTCTGCAATGAAGTTAATCCATCAGTGCTGGAAGGAATGGAGCTTTGCATCACCGATGCCAAGAAGTTCTCTCTCTTTTCCCTCTCTATGTTCACCAACACTGGCCAGACTCGAATGCACTACGCAAGCCAACTAAACTGAACTCCTTCGCTCTCTCACAATGGCAAAATTGATGTCTCCTGATGAGCCAGTTCTGTAGAAACCTTTAGGGTTCATTCAATGGCCGGAACTTTCTGGGTGTTCTCCCCATGTAACTTCCTTATTGACTTACTTAGCAAGTAAAAATGAAATGCACGGATATAGGATGGGGGCTTCCCAACAGTACATGTGAAAGGGAACTAGGAGTCCTAGTAGACCATGAGCTGATCATGAGCCAACAATGTGATGCAGCAGCTAAAAGAGCCAATATGATTCTAGGCTGCATCAGTAGCAGTACAGATTCTATTCTGCTTGGGCAAGTCACACTCTCTCAGCCTCAGAGGAAGTGGGTGACTGCCCCGTACTTGCTGTGACAGCCCTTCAGGACTGTGATCATGTCACCCCTTAATTTTCTCTGCACCAAACTGAACGTGCCCAGCTCCTTCAAAATCTCATATATTTCGTTCTCCATCCTCTTAGCATCCTTGTTGCCCGTTTCTGAACCTACTCCAACTTTGTCTCAGTTGTTGCATGCCTTCAAATCATTTCTGATTTATGGCGACACGGGACTTTCTTGGCAAGATTTGTTCGGGGCGGGGGGCGGCGGCGTTGTCTTTGCTTTCCTCTGAGGGTGAGAGAGTGTGACTTTCCCAAGGTCATCCAGTGGGCTTCCATGGCTAGGATTCGAACCCTGATCTCCAATGAAGAGTTGTAGTCCAATGCTCAAACCACTACACCTCACTGGCTCTGTACTTAATTCAATCTGTGTGTGTGTGTGTCTTTCTCACACAGACAGAAGGAGTGTGCATCAGGGCTTAGGAGTGTGAAAAGAAATGGACTTGTCTCAGGCTGAGTGCATCCAAATGAAGAAATCCTCTGTCAAGATGCAATTAACCAATTAGCCCACCAAATCCATCATGGTCCCCTGATGTGACAGCAGCCAACCGAAGAGGCTTGTAAAGGGATTAGCCACGTTTGCAGAGGATAAGTTCATCCACGGCTATTAACCCCAACAGCTTGGAATAAACAGGGTGACCCGATGGGAAAATGGAGGACATGACCAACCACAAGGCTACAAACACTCATATCAATGTAGTAAATCCAGGCTTCTGAGCCATGCTCAAATTAGAGGATGTTTGAGGATCCCTCCTGGACAGAAGGTTAAAATGTAGGACCTTAGGGAGCTAGGTTTGCTTAGCCTGGAGAAGACAAGGTTAAGAGGTGACATGATAGCCCTGTTTAAATATTTGAAGGGATGCCATATGGAGGATGGAGCAAGCTTGTTTTCTGTGCTCCAGAGACTAGAACACAGAACAATGGATGCAAGGTCCAGGAAAAGAGATTCCAGCTCAACATTTGGAGGAACTGCCTAACATTGAGAGCTGTTTGAGAATGGAAGACAATCTTTTGGAGAGGGATGGAGTGTCCTTCTTTGGAGGTCTTTAAGCAGAGGCTGGATGGCCATCTGTAACAGGGGGTGCTTTGATGGTGAGTTCCTGCATGGCAGAACGGGGGTTGGATTGGATGGCTCTTGGGAGTCTCTTCCACCTGTAGGATTCTATGATCCTAGAAAAGGAGGACATCTAGTCAACCAGAATGGAGGACATTTAGGAATTCCTCCTGGACAGAAGGCTGAAATGGAGGACACGTTCTGGAAAAGGAGGAAATCTGGTCACCCTGGATGGAGGACATTTTGGAATTCTTCCCAGACAAAAGGCTGAAATGGAGGGCATGTCCTGGAAAAGCAGGTCACCTGGTCACCCTAGGAATAAACCACCCATGTTCAGTGTCTGTACAAGGCAACCAACCCCCAAGTGGCAAGGAAGGAGGGAAGGATGGAGTGGAGAAGGTGTGCAATTCTCCCCTCCATCCTTCCCTCCTTCCAACTGGAGACCAGACCAGCGGCATCTTTCAAAGATATAGCTGTGTTAGTCTGTAGAATGAGAGATTTCGTAGCACCTTTGAGACTAACTGAAAGAAAGCAATTGGCAGCATGAGCTTTTATAGACTAAAGACTACTTCCTCAGATGCATATGGCCATCTGATGTCCATATGCATCTGAGGAAGCAGAATTTAGTCTGCCATTTTCTCTTTCTTTCTGTATCTTTTTTTACTCAAATTTCCCTTCTCTGTGCCTTTGGACTGGAAAACGTCCAAGGAGAGGGATTTTGGACAGAGGAGAAGGGCTACAGAATAGCTCCTTGCACACAATCCAGACATTTGTGCACACATTATTCAGATAGTGAAAACAATCCTGGTAGAATCTGGGTCCAATCTTTGTTGTTCAGATGCATTTCAAATGCACTCAGGTAAGGGTTTTTTTTGGGGGGTGGTGGTGGAAGGAATGCAAAAAAAACCCCCAAAACCCACTTAAACTAGGATAATCGATCTCATTCCCCCCCCCCAAGTTTTCCTAAAAGATTTGCATTGTTGGCTGTGTGAATAACCGAAGCGAATAGACAAAGGATAAACTGGGATAAAACTCTTCATGCCTTGAATGTGTTTCAAATACATCCCCTTCACTGAGTCCATCTTTATTTGCAGCGATGACACACGAGAGCAACAGAACTCATAGAGATGTGGTTCCAATTTTTAAAAAATAGCATGAACAACAAAACTGGAAGGCTTGAGTGAAATTATTCACATAACTTCGCTAAAGGAAGAACAACATCTGAATAGTTTTTTGTGGGTTTTTCGGGCTGTGTGGCCATGTTC